GGGTGGGTCAGGAGAGGTCTGCCACACCATGTGGTCACCTCCTGGACAGGAGGAATTAAATTCATGCGGAAGTGGCCTTAGATTCTCAGTGCTGTGCTTTAACCCGCTGCGCCACCAGGGAGGGCCGATCTCAGAAGACTTTTAACAAGAAGGGTAAGGAAGGAGTTTGACTTTTATTTGATAAACTGCAATTTTGGAAATTTTAAAGAAAAAGGAAACAACACCGATCAGAGCTATCTGCTAGAACACAATTCAGTAGAAATATATGGGATAATTTATAAAAGAAAACCTGCTTCATAGTCCTAATGAGAAGTTATTAAAAAGGAGAATTCACAGGTTACTTTCAAAGGTAACTGGGAGATTTTTAAGTGAAGACGTGAGAAGAAGAAGTACTGAGGAATGTTAACATAAATGCCAAGAAGAAATATGTGGGAAAGTACATAGAGACTTAGAGTAAAAAGGTATAAAAATTCAATGGGGGAAAGGAAAAAATTATCAAAAGTATGATTTTAAAAGTGAAAAAGGGACAATCTTACTAACAATTTTACTGGTAAATGGAGTAAATACAAGGCATAATCAAAGAGGCAGAGAAGTGAAAACACCCAGGAAAGGACAATTCCATAGTAGCCACACAGAGAAGAATTTTTAAAAAAGAAAAGGTAGTATCAAATGCCACAGAGGAACTACAGGAGAAAAGTGAAGAAAATGAACACAAGATTTTATGACTAATTAGTGCTTCAGAGGAATATTTTGTTGAGTAATTAATAGCCATTTCCAGATTTCAAGTGGAAAATGAAATATACAGATTACCTTGAGAAACTGGCAGAAAAAAGGAGAGAAATATAGCTTGAGAAGTAAGTTTAAAAAAAAATTTCTTGACGGAAAAAACCTATTCTACAGGAAAAAAGAAAATCTAGTGGGAAAAACACAAAGGGAGCAAAAATAAGAAATGAAGTAAAATCTTAAGGAAAATGGAAAGATAGAAAATTCAACTTCTTAAATATGTTGAAAGGCAGTATTGTCCTGTAAATAAGAGAACAAATAGATGAAAAAATTCCAAACTAGAATTTTGAAAGAAGAAGACATTCAAGAACTCATTAAGATGATCCCAAATTTCTCCAAAAGTATAGGAAGTGATTTCTGTACAAAGTGAGAGGATTGAGGATTCAGAAAAAGAAATGTACTAAAAAATAATAAAGAAATCATATAGATCAGCAAAGAGAAGAAAAGTTCTGTCCAGTAAAATAGTCAACTAAAGTTATAGAACATATGAATTTGTTATGAATGAAATTAGCCTATCTTGAAAATAGTGTGAGCATCATTTGGAAAGTCAAACCCCTTAGCACTGGAGAGGTTGCCCATAATTGGAATTTGGTGAAATACTGTCTGAATAAGTAGGTAATGACAGTGTCTTCGAAAGTAGAGCACTGATAAAACTATTTACGAATGGATTCAAATGTGGTAAATAAGCAAGTAAAATCATAAAGACAGTCTAAGTCTCAAAAGATTGAAAGAATACAAAAACAAACAAAAACAAGGCAGATTAAGAATGAAGACAGTGAAAATGTTAGACTGAAGAAAATTTCATACCACCCCTAGCTTAGTTTACTGAATGCAATGGATTCTTAAAGCAATAAAAAACACCCTGATGTTAAAAAACGTTCCAAAGTTATAGTAAATTCTGTATTGCATTTAACTGCTTCCTGGAAAATCAGAACCTTTGTGAACTGCTGCTGTGATAAAATTAATACTTTTATTAATATCTTTTATTAGGAAGATCTGTTTGTGAAGTTATGAGGTTCATTTAATAAAAATGAATTTTGAAATCTATTAAAAGTATAAAATGTTGGACACATGATTTTTATTTTTAATGTTAACTGTGTCCACTTATATTTTCTTATAAAGTTAGTATAACAATTGTAGGAACTGTTTAACCTAAACTCCTATTTTACTTGTTGATTTGTTAGGAAAGTTTACAACTGACGAAACCATAAATGTTTTAGGAAATAAAAAGGATTTATTTAGTAGTTAGGTTTTTAATTTAAATGTTTTCATTATTAATATTAATTACTCTGTATCTAAATTCAAGGACATAATAAAAATGTACACTAAGCATTTTATTAAATTAAAATAACAATTATTGTTAAAAAGTTTCTTACCATAATTTGTTTCGTTATTTGAGTTGTGATTTCTTTTGCATCCAAAATGATTGATGGAGGGAGTGATGACACCTCTGCAGCTTTTAAACCTAAAATTACAAACAATGGGTTTCAACATTATTATTATTTATAATATTATGTTTGTTTTAACCAGTATTGTCCTTTTCTTCACAGATTTAAACTTCCCTTCGACAGGTACTTCCTAAATACATATTTTTGAAAGCTAATTTTTCTAAAATTCTGGATAACAATTTACAAATTATTAGATTTAATTATTTATACAAGACATAAGACAAATTAGAATATCAATTACATCTTAACATA